TCAGACATGGCCCAGTCGCGCCCTCAATGGCGCTCGTGCATCAAAGCTATTGCCTTCAATGCATAGCTCCTTTTCCAACCCCCTCACTTGACAGCCCACTGACAGTGCTGGATTTATGCACCAATTTACCAGCTCGCGCGTGCAGTGCGCAGCTACCTACCCCCCAATCATCGGTGAACGAAACTGTGGCAGCTACAACCAGTGTACGACCAGTGCGCGGTTCTTACAGCTGACAATGATGATGATGATGATGATGCAATACCCTTGATGTAAATACGTGCCATATTGGTGCTTGTCACATGTATTCAGTACTAGAATATAATAAGTGGAGACTTGGTTGTTAAAATATCCCTAAAACTTGTATAACTTGTTGCGCCACATTGCTAGTCATCCATCGTCTATCTAAATGACCGCTGTCCCCAGTGCCTCGTTTGGAGTAATGCATCCCAGAAGACGGGAAACGTATGAGCTGGCAGGTGCGTTTGAAGTGCCCGAGTAAACCTCTTCGGGTCCCAGGAATTAGTTGTTTGTAACAAACAGTGCAGTGTGGCACCGTTCAGTGGTGTCATGAAAACATGTGTTAAGTTTTATTGTGCTTAGATTGAAGGTTTAGGGGTTTGGAACACTCATTAGGATTAGCACCATTTTCTTCTCCTTTCGCACTTACATTTTGTTATACGGCTCCAAAAATATCGTTGTATTGTGATGAAGCGTCACGTCATCCTTGATGTTAGTGATCATTCAGGAAATGGGTATGCTTAACGGCGGGACACTGCGCTTGATGGCCCTGTAGCAACCACAAACCTACGTTTGTTCCAATTAATAGTTGATCGTACATTATGGATCTTATCATAAAGGTTTCCTGTTGCAATTAAACCTATCACGAAAGTGGATTTTTTCAGCAGCACCAACTGGTTGATTCCCATTGGACGTCAGTACGAACTTTCAAATTATGCTGGCGTAGTCAGTCACACCTACCAATGTCACCTATACTTCAGTCCAGAATGACTTTACTGCTGACTTGCCTGCATTCAGATTTTTTAAAGAGGTTCCAACAACAGTATTTTAGGATATTTCCTTTATTTCGGTTTGGAGAAATGATATTTTCTCCTTCGTGGGTAACTATTGGTAGGTAGTGGGCAGTCCACGCTGTCGCCGGCGGAAGGGAATCAGGTGTGCTACCACGTAACCTACAACACCCCTACGTGGTTCACTACCTTAAGCCTATAGATTGGGGTGCTGGTCTTTCGTTCAAATCGCCACGAGTGTATAAAACCCTCCAATCACATTTAACATTGTAGTGAACATCTCAAACCACTGCCACCCCAGATGTTACTACCCAGTATGTTCTAGAGCTAGCGCTTCCCACCAGACTTCCAACGGATCCCCTATCTATGGAAGGGCCACATTGATCCCTGGTTTAGGATATTCCTTTATTTCGGTTTGGAGAAATGATATTTTCTCCTTCGTGGGTAACTATTGGTAGGTAGTGGGCAGTCCACGCTGTCGCCGGCGGAAGGGAAGCAGGTGTGCTACCACGTAACCTACAACACCCCTACGTGGTTCACTACCTTAAGCCTATGGATTGGGGTGCTGGTCTTTCGTTCAAATCGCCACGAGTGTATAAAACCCTCCAATCACATTTAACATTGTAGTGAACATCTCAAACCACTGCCACCCCAGATGTTACTACCCAGTATGTTCTAGAGCTAGCGCTTCCCACCAGACTTCCAACGGATCCCCTATCTATGGAAGGGCCACATTGATCCCTGGAGTGTTTATGACTTTGCTCTTCCAAAAGTGATTTCACCCCTAAGAAAAGTCATCACTGTGACCGCTCTCATGATCGGCACGTTTGGTGCGTTTGGCGTGCTTCTGTGGCTCACGTACACGCACGTATGGTTTTCATCCTGTCCGGAAACAAAAAGACACTATTTCCTACAGGACAAACAAATTGAGTTTATTCTCACCTCGTTTCACTTGCTTAGTCAAATGCCTCGTATGACAGTNTACACGACAAACAAATTGAGTTTATTCTCACCTCGTTTCACTTGCTTAGTCAAATGCCTCGTATGACAGTTGCTTCAAGTAACATGTTCAAATGCAAGTGATGAATAGTTTGTCGAATACTGACCTGCACGGCATACGAGTAAATGATCTCTCAAATCCGAACGTTTTTAGATACTCCCATTTCGCAACTCTGTGGTGAAAGCTTCTGTGAGTAAAGTGGACCTCGAAGTAACGCTTAGTCTTCAGGTTGGTTTTCAGAATAGTTGTGGTAGGTTTTGTGGATTTTGTGCAATTCATCGATGGTCACATTAGATTACGAAATCTCTACTAAGAGAAATAGTGGGAACAGAAAGTATGCCGCTGGCTCCTCGAGGAATGAAGCTGTTCGCCTTGAACCAGTAAGGTTGCATAATTGCTTGGAGTTTTTAGCAACCTGGTACACTGTTGCTGGATCAAAGGCACTACCCCCGGTACTATTTATTTTCTAGTGAGGCCACAAGAATCCCTCTGACTTGGTGGCTTCGCTTTGGGGGAGGGATTGTTGTGAATGGTTGTGCGCTCTTCACTTTAACCTATTACTAGGTGCCCCATAACATTCCATAAAAAACACAAAGACCATAAACTGATTTCTACGAATTTCCCCAGTGTTTGTTTTATAGTGTAAATGAGCCTTTGCAAATGTAAAAAAAGCGCTGTACCACTTCACTCCTTAAGGTCTATAGTGTTCAGTTACATCGAAATAGGTCTTATAGAAACAAGTGGAAGTACAAATGGATTCTGTGTTCGAGATTCAGGACAGCTGAGCCTGTATTCTAATGCGTCTTCGTTTATTCCATCTCAGTAGACACGTGAGCGGGTGTAGATGTTCGAGGATTCAAAGCTCGGTGGCGAGGTGCGTCGGTGGCTGGCAGACGTGTGCTTGTGATGTAGAAGCCCTTGTTCATTCCCATTCAATACGCCTACTCCAAATAACTACATGGCGTTGGCACCCCAGGACACTGCTTCAACCAAATGGCATGATAGTGTCTTTGATCGGCATTGGGTATCGTAGGCTGTAATGTAAAAGGGGATTACTTTCTTCCTGAGTTTGGCTGCAAAGGGCCGTGGAGACTTCAGTTCCTGGGTCACACGTTCAAGGCTTGGATTTGCAGCTGCATCCTTTTTGAGTCATCTTTATTACATTGTGGTCTTATTCGTAGGTCATCGTTTTCCACCCGACTTGATGAAGCTTCAAAGTACATCCCTTTTACGTGTTTCTTCTAGGAAAATGCCTTGATTCATGAGAATCAGTGGAATAGGTACAGTTTGTCTTTCGTGTCGGGAACGTGCAAGTATGTAACCTTGACTTTCTACCTTTCGGTAAAACAACAGGAGGAGGTTGTAAACATCCATTTACTGTATTTACTTCTCAACAACGCGAAATCCCGTAGCAAGACAAGCTTTCTTCTCATAATTTCAATGCTGTGACTACATATTTGCTGTCTATTTTACTTTTGTAGCCCTGAAAAATAAGTTTTTGTACGAGAAGGTTTCCAGCTCAGGTCGCCAGTTTGAATTACCTTTTGAAGCCTCACTCTCAGGTAAGCTACGTTTATTTTCCGAACGGATTTTTCTTTGTATACGCCACTTTTCACCTTCCTTTAACCACAAACAGTCTCATTCTGAAACAGTCTCATTCAGTGCTTCAGTATGGCGAACATTTCTCGGCACTTGGGTATCTTTCATTTATACGTGTGTCTACTGTAACGGGTTAAGTAGTCAAATAATGATGCATAAGGTGGCACCCTATTTTACCGCATGAGGCCGAACCAGGCAACTGTCTGCTTGCACCACACCAATGAAATATGTGCAAAATTTGTTGGCATTAGAGACACACCAAATGACAAGTTTTTTTTACAAAGTTTTTGCAAACAGCATTTACGCCCCGCGGTCACCATCTTTTCCGGCCACCAGTCGTATCTCGAGTCCATTGTGCTTCCATTAAATCATAAATTTGTACAGAAATCCTTTCTCGTTTCTTCTTTATTACTCAGTGAAGTGGACTGATAACCTTACTCTTTTGCTCATCACTAGAATCACGAAATCTGGGCTACGAGCTTTTCGAGGGTGTTCTGAAACGACGGGATCGCGCCGAGGCTACGAGAAATGCAATCGGAGTGATGCAGCGCTACCAGTTTTTGTTCAACCTTCCACATGCGATACGCTCAAATATTTCCAAGGTTCGGTCTGTTATCCAGATTTTCCCCCACTTATTTTATGGAAATGTTAGAAATTCGTGCGTGTTTACGATCAAGCCGTAAAGTGCTACTTCGTATTGGTCCTCAAATAGGAACGCTACGTAAGGTCCACGTGCTATCGTGATGTTCTAGCTTCACTCCGAGACCTGGTTAACCACCTACTCTGCTTTGGGTCACGTTATTTTGGTATAACTTGTCGAGTGTCTACAGTGAAATTTCTTTCAATATCGGCACTCTTACTAACTATATACTTACTCAGCCAACGTAACCAACTTCTGATAATTCTCCAATCTGCCAAGTGACATGGAAGACTTTCTGTTGTATACTACGACTAATACTACTTTATATTACTGATGGGGTTGTTAAAAATGTATCAGCAGCTCACTGACGTTTCCATCCTTTTTGCAGTTCATCCGAGTGATTCATGGTATATTTTCCCCCGTCTAGGCTTGGGCAACTTGGCTGTATCCCAGCCCTCGTGCAGCCTCCGGGTGGCATGGCAGTTAGGCATTGAAAGGGTGCTACAACTGAACGATTTACAGTACGTCTGCATCCTACTGCCTTCAGATAGGTTGGCCAACGCAACTTGCGTGGAACGACTTTGAGTTTCTTTGTTTTCTATTTTCTCATTGAAAACTTAATCCCTACTCACAACATATGAGTCGAGTTGAAGGCTACCAGATGGCCTTAACGTGTTTGTTTTCTACCATTTGATTGGTAAAAATGCGCCCCTTTTATTTTACTCACATACTTTTAGGGCGACTACAGTCTTGTTTTGAACGACTATTTGAGAGCCAAGTCCTTGTTCGCTTTTTCTGACGTGGAAGTCCTTCGTCGAGGTGAGTTGGTTGTATGAGTCAATTTGTTGTTTTTCCGAGCTCCATCATATTACAGAACACTTTATCGTTACAAAAAATAAGTACCAAGTTAATGTTATGCATCTGATCACTCTTGATTAGGCCTCTTCCTGAGTGGCTCGGGATTTTGATAATACAATTAAATCGGTCTTGTGTTGAGCGTGTACTCCTGTTCGTTGTAGCTGAAGGTCATATTGGCTTCGTTCTCAACGAACGTTTGATGTAATTCAGTTTCAGAGTCTCATCCTTCGTTGTTTCAACGGATTATCAGTAGCTCCTCCTGCTATCTGTCATCTATTTCCAGTGAACCAATTATTTTACCCACTTTCATACCTTATGCTAAAGTGGCGCAGCAGTAAATTCTCACGCCTTGTCTTCTATTCAACCAGTTTATGGCGATGTGGAGAATGTCGTCAGCAACTTTCGCATTCTGTTAAAAAACCAGCTGACAACAATGCCAATCGACTGTGAGGAGGCGAAACGTAAGATCAAGTAAGTGTTTGTATCAAGTCACTTTTGCTGATCGTACCTGCTGTTGAAGTATTTACCCTTCTAACCGACTGGGTGTTCGATGTAGGTGTGTTGGAGGCATCAGTAAATGATGCCGCGGAAACCTGCGCAGTCTTGTGGCCCCGTTGCAGAGATCAGCAAAGGAATCAGCCAGAAGCGCGCTGTTTTGGGCGCAACCTATCAGAATGGGATATCGCAGTATTATGGTACGCCTTCAAAATAAAGAGCTGTTTCTTCCAATCTTCACCGCGGACATGGCACAGTTCGGGCCGAATTTAGTTCTCTGAACATACTGTATCGCGCTCTCGCGAGTATCTTTTCGTCGGTAGTCTTTCTCCCCTTCCAGTAATTCTTTTTCTGGTCGCATGACGAGCAAAAACCCTTCCGGACTCGCATTCCTGTACCAGTGCAGCACTCACTGAATAGAAAACAGGGAGCAGGGAAAAACCACTGAAATCAGTCATATTAGAAAGATGACCATATTTATTGTTAGTAACGGCGCCACCGTCGTACTATTTATTCAATAAGTTGTTGGACTCAACGCTTATCTTCTTTGCGGCCACCTTTCAGCTATCTACTCCAGCTTGAAGTAACTTTTGATCCAACGTGGCTTTGCCTCCTCCGGTTCAAAGAGTGGCTTCTTGAACAACTTCGACTTTATCAACACAGCTATCGCCAGGCAACTGGTGCTTCAACAGCTGACCCAGATGCCGGGAACTCTAAGGACGCTTCGGCCTTTTCGCTCGGCGTTCCGTCTATGACATCCAATCGGACTTCTATGCCTTCGGTCAAGTGGATGGAAGATAGTAAGTTGTGTTGGCATTGTGAATAAAGCCACTGGTGGCTGTTTATGGTACAGAACACTACTTCAAATGGCTCCCCACATTTGGTATTCATTGGTTTAGTCATTATTTCTGTTCCTGTAATTTGTCGGCACCGGCACATAGTACACCTAAATAAAGCTAGTCATTCTGACCCACACTAACGTTTAAAACAGTGCTTTACACTAAGTTGTATTCTCTTGACGGAACATACTGCTCACAAGGTCGCTGAAAACTTCCAATTTATGAGTAGAGTGTTCCGTCAAGGCAGTATACTATGATATTTCGAGTATCGTGCTAAGCTAAACATGAGACGACCTTTTACAGCACTTGCGGTCGAAGAAAAACATAGGTCAAACTAGTTTGTAAGTGGGTCTATTTTGGTAGCTGTGCCCCCATTAGTCCTCGTGGTCGCCTTATTCGACACGCAAATGGCATACGTGTTTGCATACATCTACCGCCCACTCCCAGTGCAATTACAGTTCAGTGGAATCATACCGCACCACCTGGTGAAGTGAGGAAATCTCCAGGTGTATATCTTGAAATCCTTTCCTAAATGATTACCCAGTAGTATACACTATGTGCAGATGCCCTCTGTCGAGAGTGAATTCAAAACACTTATCTGTGATTAGGGAATAAACTACAATTTGTTAAGCTGCTTGTCAATTACTAAGTTCCCATAATCCATCTGGGTAAGGCACTCAGATGCCTATTATGGAACGCGAAGGTTTCGAACAATCTTCTCACTCGCCACCCAATCGCGTTATCACGACTGTACTGGCTTATGGATGATACGCACCTATACTTCAGACCGGTATTCTATTTATCTGAACAACGGTGCGTTCTAATTTGCAAACACCAATTGGTTCTGCTTTAATATCCTACGGTATTGAAGCAAAGCTTCCTTTTTACTGGACCGTTTTTCAGGTTTGAAATGCCTGTGGATAGACCAAGGTATGAAGGCCGCACTCGGTAAACTCGCTGCCATTTGGAGCTGCCTTATCTCTGAGTAGAGGCATCCATGTTTCGACAAACTATCGGCCTAAAAAATCCATAATTTTGTGGGTTTTTGCGCTTCTGAATCATTGTACCCGCGGATCGAAGAACGTAAATCGGAAGACTGACAGTGTACCATTATTGGACTGTAATCCTCGTTCCTCACCATCTACGTTGACTGAAGCTAGTGTGCGACCTGTGTGTGTTTTATATATGTAGACGTTGTCCAGCTAAACTAGCACGCATGGGCATCGAGGATTTATTCAGATATCGGACGCCAGAGGAATGTGTGAATTGGATATGGGTTTAACAACGTTGCTCCATGGTGCACAGTAGTGTACTCTTTATAGTGAATCAGATGATAACCCTAAGAATGTATGATTCAGGTAAGTAAACGATCACCGTTTTGTGTCGTTCACCTTTTGAGCACGTTTGTTCCACATCTCCCTGTTATTCAGCCATATTGTTTTAGCCACATCGACTTAATCCTGGGTTGGTTAACGGCTTTCCAGTAACCACAGTGCGCTCGTTGCCTAGTCTGTCATTAAGTCAAGTTGCAATGTTCTGTGCTTTGTCGGACCATATTTTTGTACGTCAGTCATCCGTGAACAAGCACGCGCTTTCCCACCTTTATGTATACTTCTAACCTGTAGGTTTTGTCAAATAGGTCACCCAACTCTGTCACGCCCTGGCTTGTTGATAGCCGTCCCTTTACCATAATCAGTGCGGCAGCCGACCAGCAACAGACCGCCCTGCTAGTTCATGGTTATTGTCAGTCCAAACCAGGCACGTGTGTTCAAGGTGGGAGAGCAGAATGGAAGCTACCTCCCATGGTGGTCTGGTTAACTTGTCAGTAATCAGCGTTGCCTACAGTCCATCCCACCAGGCATCCGCAAATACAAGCAGTCTTGCGTCAGTGCGAGATTTCACTGCTTAGCGTGTGGACCTTTTTTAATTGCGTGCAAGATTTGCCCACCTGAGACACGTGCCCCATTTGTGATCTTTGCTCCCCTCTATTCGTGCACCCATAAGGCCCTGCTTCGCAACAGATCTTGCTGCGCAGGAAAACTAAATGCAGCTGCGCCATTTCCATAACGTTACGATATGGCGTCTCACACCAGATGCTGTAGGATTGATCAAGTCACCCTTTGGCTAGCACCGGAACAGTCGAATCCTCATTGTGTTACTCGTGAATACACGAAGAATGAATGTTCGGATGGAGAGTTTCCTGATTTTGTGGCTTGACACCGAGTGCTTGGTCACCGGACTTCTCAACTACAGTCGATTTCTCCTGCTCGTCATCACTACCGGTGAGAGAACACCGTTAGTTCACTGACCTGCTAAATCATTGAACCAAAGTCCTGTTTCTGAACAAAAGGAAAGTGGCTCTAATGCTAGCTTACGACATTTGTCCGACCTGTCTGCAGTTTCAGACATTCGCTCAGACGACCTAGATGAAGACTGGCCACTACTGGCACTGGAACCTGCGATAATTTTTACCGTATTTTCGCTCGGTTCAAGTTGACTCTACTATCTAATCCTCATCTTCATGTCTCTGCATTGACAATCTCTCGTTATACTACTGGTATATGCTTAACGCCATTTATAACCCGTGGGCTAATTTGGCAGTCAGCTTGTCACGTATTTGACCCCCCCTGCATCTAGTGGGTGAGACCCACTTGGTAGGAACGTGTAGCTGAAGACCTCCTATAGTGGTCACACCCTATCTCCATCGTAGCATACCATAGCATCACAGTATGTGGTTTATTCCCAAACAGCACGCTCCATGCGAATCAGTACCATTGTCGTCGATTGTCAGCCGCGCCTAATTTTCAGACTAGCCCCATCCGATTAAGAATAAGCGAGCTTTGGAGTTGACACTGATACTGTTCGTTCGTTCTGAGTGTTGCTTATTGGTGGAGGGAGCGGCAAGTAGTAGCTATGCATTCTAGGCAGTAGTATGGATGCAGAAACGCCAGAAATGTGAATAGATTGCAAAGTTGTAAGTGACTCGTCGAATCTCTGGAATAAGAAAGTCACTGATGCATTCCTATTCGTATCGAGATATCAAGTGCTTTGGCACGTGCTTCCTATCCTCGCCTTCACTGGGGGTAGCATTACATTGCCAGTGACAGTTTATGGTGGTCAACTATTGTACAGGCGGGTCCTCATCAGTTTTAATTAGAAAGTGTAAGAGAGACCAGTGAAGAGCGATTGGTGCTTCAAGAATGATAGTAAAACTGGATCAATTACAACATATGGGCACTCTAAGTGGCGAGAAGCCACTTACAGATGACCCTGTTTGACCAACAGATTTGTCCCATATTTCCGGGGGTACGACCATAAGGGGAATTTCAATAATCATTATATGGATAATAGCCGTTCGTTTTTAGGGAGACTTCAGTTTTTTTAATGGTCATTGTTTCGCATGCATCAGGTTTTTGTTTACGCGGTCAAGGTTTAATCTCCACTCACTTTACGTTTTTTAAACAATTACAGCAATCACGACTGATGAGTCTCCGATGCTTGTGTTAGTCAAATCAATCTGCCAGCTTTTGACTCAACATGTTGTTCAGTTTTGGCGTCTCGGGACGGCCTACGCATCGGGACAGTTCAAGAAATTTAACCTCACGGACGAAGCCTCCGCTGTTGTACGTTTCAGTCATTTAAGTTTTGACCACATTAAACTCCATTTATAAGATGCTATCGTAGTGATAGGATTTTTTGGTTCCCGCTGTAGTTCATTCGAACATTTAACTGGTTAATCGTTTAATTCACGGCCTCGAGAAATGACTTCTCATTCTCTTAGAAAGTGTGATATTGAAGATAAACAGTACATTGATTATTGTCACCGAATGGCAACAAAACTTTCGAAAATCAGTTTTCAAGGTCTGTTTTCAAGAAAAACAGACCAACAACCCAGCTACCAAGATTCCTCTACACTATGGGGATCGTTTCCCTTTTCAACTACTATGAATGCTCAAGCGAGCGAGGTTCACATTTTAGTTTCTAGTTTCGGTCGTACGACGTTGCCTTAAAGGTTGGTCCTACTCACTTTGAATTTTTTAAGTTCATGCCGTAGGGAATCCTGATCAAGATCAAAGTTTATCTCATCTGCAAAATTTTTCAACTGAGAGAAGAAAGGATCTAGCATGGTCCTTCCGTAAAGTAGCGGAACCCCTTACTTTTGGATCTGGAGACGGTAACAGAAAACCGTTTTAAAGAACTTTCATCTGTGCACCAACAAGTCGCTATAAGGATGCCATATTTCTTGACTGAATACGGAACTCTGAAAGCTAGTTGACAGTTGTCGACCGGTTCCGCCCTTCTTGGAGCATGTTAGGTAGGTCCAGTCCCCGAGTGCCCGTCGGGTATATGTTCTGTTTGAACCCAAAGTGGACGTAATTGGCGAAGTTTAGTTAGTCAATTTGACGGGGGACTCAACCGATTTCCATCGAAAAAGTCTTTTCAAAACATCGGTGTTTGATTCTCTTCGAGTACCCTATCTTCTTTAGTATCTTCCTTGTCTTCCGAGTATCTTACCTTCAAGTACCTTATCAACCCGTTCGCATTTCTCAAGTGTGGTTACTAGAGAAGCCAACCGTTTATTTCCAATTCCCTGAAATGCGCTTCGCACCCAAGAAATGCGGAGTTATGCTGCAGGCCGTAAGTCTTTGAACGTACCTCTAAGAATTCCAGCAGACATTGGGAGTTTTGGAACATTAAGTATTTCTGGAGTTTCATTAACTCAGGGCTCAAAGGATATGTGTGTCAGACTTCATTGCGGGTTTTATCATCTTACGGCTGCGCAAGTTGTCCACTTCAGATAGATTATCCGAGACATCTTCGGTTCTGTATTCACCGATGTCTCAGAACGCTAACTGGAGTTGGTTGGAATCAGGGAGTTCGCAATGAGGCTTTCAGAAAACGAGCCTTTGGTGAAGCGCTTAGCTAAGATGGGTGGACCGTGTGCCTCACGTGACGAAATTCCGTTTGCCAAGCTGGGTCTTCTTCACGCCCAATTTAGAATGGCAGAATTCCAGAATTGGACAGAAGGACAAGATGCCGCTGTTGGCGCTGTTTGTCTTCCACGGTATAATGTACGTAAGCCGTCCTATGCTTGGCTGGGAATACTAGAAGATATGGCGGTTAACTACTCTCAGCGACGTTCATACAGTCAGTTTCTATCGATATAGTCTGATTAGGTGTTGGACTTATAGGCCTCTCGGAGGTTTGTGCAAGGCTAGCCCTAAATCCCTTGTGTGTTGTATTTTCTTTCATTACCCTAAGGGTCTCATTCAAATGAATCGATATTATCGTACGATAGTGGAGTAACCGTTTCTTCTGGTAAAACTGTCAATGCTGTTGCTGCTGATCTTGAAACGTAAACGCATGGTTGGTAGTCTGGTGGCAGTTCACTCAACACCCTCCATTTTTCCACAGTGGTGAGCTTTGACTGGTTCGGTCAGTGTGCATCGTAGTGGCTATCACAATGTATACTTCGTCCGTAGAAATTGCTTCGTAACCCTTAGAATGAATGGTGTAGACTGTGTACGGCGAACGGTCTCTCAGTCGTGCTGCTTGAGTTCCACTTAATAATTAGAGGGCCATCGACTTAAAAGTTGATGTGGACAGTACTACGGAGTGTTTGGAAAATTCGTAATCGCTTTTTCAATAATTCGATTCGATCTTTGCGACAAGTGGCTGAAAGGTTCATTCCCACACAGTGTTCTTTGTCGTACTCGGTAGAGAACAGAGTAAATTAGGACTGTGCGCTTTCGGGTATAAAGAACTGCACATGGACCCGATCCATGAACACCTTCCCCTATTCTGTCTCGTGTTAGATCACAAAAGACTTAACCTAACCTTTGATTCAACTACTGCCTCTGTCGTTTCCTCCCCGTTCATCTGCTTTCCAACAGGATGATATCAGTGCTGAGACTGATCCATCGCATCCTGCAACTCCAATCAATCCGAAAGCTGCCTGGTTGGTATGTTTTTATTTGAAAATGGTACCCTTGTAATTTCATTTTTTCTCATTATGTAGCTGATGACATTCCTGTACTGTTATCTCTCCTCCGCATGCGGATCGCATCATTTATTTGGGTCTGCTAATTGCTGTACCATTCAACGAGGTTGATTAGCCTGACATACCATTCGTTATGCACTTGATAAGCCGTGTATATTCATTTTGAGCGGCGCGCATTACCAGCCGTTCTATATCGGGTTTTGTTTCGGTCGCCTTTGTTCTCGTTTATAGAACTCGGGGAGCCGTTTTGTCCATATATCCCGGCTGCCACAGGTGAGGGGAAAGGGTACAGAACGGCGCCTCTACGTGTGTGGCGCCGAACATCTGTGCCTTGTCTCTGCATCCGATCTGTCTGCAGCTAGGCACTTAGAGTGCCTGGTAGATTTTTCCGTTTGACAAATATGCACGATCCGGATCTCTACCTACGCGGTTGCTAGTGCCATCTGGAACTATTGTTGTCCGCTCCCGGTGCCTACGTGTCTCCTCATCTAAGCTGCTGGTGTGTAACTAAATGCTGTGCTGCTGATAAGCATTATGTAAATGCGTAATTTGCCCGATTATACCACGAATACTCTTGACGGTTTCATTTTTACATATTTTCCTACTGGACAACCGTTGCTGCGATTCCTGTGAAACTGGGTTGCTCCTATTTCAGACGAGAGTCCATTTAAAGTCGGGTGCTAGATTAATTGTTATCTTTGATGGGGTTACCAAATCCCAGAAAAGGCGGAGGCTTCTTTGGCCTGTGGGGTCAAAGGTAAAAACTCTAGCGTTGTTCCGTTGAAGCTGCTCCTGAAAGGACTTATATATACCCTCAGTTCAGCGTAGTTTCACCCTGGTCATCTCTTTCGTCGCAACTGTTAGCGTATGGTAATTTTCGAAAGCGTTGTCGTTTGTGGGTATGGTTAGTTTATGGAAGCTGTCGCCTAGGTGCTTTTTTGGCAGTGATCCATGATTCATGCAACCACACGAATTCTAGACGGCGTTTAGCTTACAGTGCTTCCGATAAAGGGTGTAAACTCGGTCGCACAGAAACTACCATGTTTGCTATATACTAGATGTCGAGCCGATATCTCCTATCGTATAAAACATGAAGGATGACTATCCTTCACACCAACTGCGAATTTATTCCAATGGTTTTACGGGGTTTGTAGGAATCCCTCAACTCGTTACCCCTCATCCGAGTTGACACTTCGGACGCTCTTTACATTTCGGCCAGTTTGTTGGCGATTTGTTTGGCGTTTCAAGATGGTCATTGCATTGTTTTCCAATACATTCGATCTGTGTGTGTGCACCACGTACCTTTATGTCTTCGGCACATTCGTTCAGTGATTCTTTAGTGATTCGTTAGTGATTCAGACTGGCAGGAACTTCAACTCCCAGTTACAGTGCAGGAGTACTGATTTACGGATGGAGGCATTTAATCGGAACCCTCTTCCAAGATAAGCCGGTGTTCATTGTTTCTCACCCTACTCACTGGTTTGTAGGGTTGTGGCAACCTTTATTTTTCCAGAACCTTTGTGTTAGTATGGTTGGGCTTAAACACTACAGTGTAAAATGAACACTACCTCGATTCACAGAAATAGTCCGTGTCGGATAGTATGCTCCATTCCAATAGGGATACGGTTTTTGTGAGCAACTGTTGAATGTAGCTTAGATCAGTTTTCATGATAGCTGCCATGCAACTCATTATTTACTCAAAATGTGGGCGACGTCAGCCTCGAGATTTCGTACGTTTTCTGATATTCTCTGCTTCCATCTCTGTCTATCCCCCTCGTGCTCTCTCTCTAAATTTCAGCGTTATCGTTGCGATCTCTTGCTGATGTTGAATTAGTGTGTGTTGCACCTATGATCTTGATGTAATGCGCAAAATGCATTTTATATCTCGTTTTATGGCTACCGATTTGAAACTAGGCACGTTTTGTGAAGATTTATTTTATTAGTCCGACAGAGTTTTGTGGCGAACGGAGTGCAGTTACCAGTGGTGCGGAATTCCGGTGTAGTTTACTGAGCCACTTGTTTGAACTGGTCCTCCTTAACAGCTGATGCATTCTGTTTTATCGTACCATTGTGAGAAATTAGCTAAAAAGCCGAATAGCGTTGCTGGAATTCTTCCCGGGGACAGTGAATGACTTGTGGTCACGAATACCTACAGACTACTCTGGACCCCAGCTTTTTTGGCCGCTCTGGATCCCTTTGGTTGTTTTTCAATAGCGACATAGTGGCATAGCGAGCCGCCAGTTTAAGCAGCGAAATGTGGGGACGTTGGGCTGTACCGCTCTAAATAAACAGGACAAACAAATTGTAGCAAAGGTGCCGCCTATCTGGAAACGACCACGTTATGTTGCAAACCAACTGCTCTGGTGTTGCCGAGAGCGTACCGACTTTGAACTGGTTGAAGCATTCAGTGGCACAGCTGCGCGTATGGGTTATCCGGTGCCCTTATTTTAGGTAAAGATGCAAGCAGTTGTACAATACATTTTCGCCACAATCTCTCGTTGAACACTCACATCTGAGTCCCGTCGGTAGTGCTGGCGATATCCGTTTGCGACTCAAACTATAGAGTGGATACGTACATTGTTATGCTTTTGAATAACTATCAAAGATCTGCTTTCTCGGATCTTGTAACAACAAGATTTTGTGTCAGATGTAATTTACGTCTACAATAATCGATCCTTTACATTTGTAGCAAATAAATATGGAACTGATTCACATTATGTCGAATACAATGCGCGATGAGCTGTTGAAAACGGTCGGCACATGGAACAAAGACATCGCATCAACTGAAGGTCTGTCGGAATGCATCCAACATTTCAGGTGACTACTAGTATTGTCTGTTTATTGGTTTGTGGTGTCATTATGCTGTTAGCTTTTACGGTTTAAGAACAGTGCCGTGTGAGATCACGATCCACCTAATTTCATACATATTCAAACGTTAATGGGGCTCATCAATAGGTCTCCTACTCAAATAGAAAAATTCTTCAAAACTTTTCTGACGGCTCAATAAGCTTCATGGATTGACACTTCTTAGTACTTGTCAGTGGTTTTTATCTTCACTCTGCTGAAGAACAGGGCCACGACATTTGCTAAAGTCTATCGGCTAGATTGGCTTCTATCACGGTGCTGGGGGAAGAATCCATCAAAGGCAAGACTATCTCATCAGCTGCCTTGTTCATCTATCAGCTACTTTTTGAGCTACGTGTGGGAAAATCATGAAATTGAATTTTTATGACTCGGCTGTCAAACCAACAAAATCCTCATCTATGCGGTGTCCACTTCACACAAGTCACTGTTGGCGAAGAAGAACGCAAGCATTATAAAGTCGTTCAGCTGTAGCACCCTTCCGGTGCCTAACTTCCATGCCACCCGAAGGTTGCACAAGGGCTGGGATACTGTCATTTTACCCAAGCCTAGGCAGGGGAAGTCGAGAGGCAGAGGTCGGGTTCGAATCACGGACCTTCCGGTCAGTAAATTCGCGCTCTTACCCCTGAGCCATCTCGCCCCATTATGGTCATGTGATAATGCCTGATCTATTGGTACCTATTAAATGATTTTGACGATTAAGCTTGTTTGATTTGTGAGAAATTGCAGCTCGATAATATCGCTTGGGTGTATCACTTTGAGCATTTTCAAAGCCTTTATTTATCGTGTTGGTGGGGATAGAGTTATTCAACGATTTTCTGACAGTCAGTTGAATGGACCTTGCTCCTGTGCCGCGGTGAACAGTATCTGAAGGCGTGTTGATGTGAATCGCATGCATCTCACACATTTAGAGAAGGGCTGTAATACACGTGTAATCAATTTACTTTGTAGGCGCCCATAGGAGCCTTATGAAAGGTAATCCGAGTAGAGTGTATACACTCCTGGGTAATTCACATGAATTTGTTGGATTACATACACACCATCTTCTCCCTTGTCTTTTGTGTGTGCCCCTGTCGCCAGACGCTGTTGTAACGTGCTACCGTTGGCTGAACTGCCCGCGGAAATTGGTGAAATATTCTCTCGGCTTGCCCATGATTTGCGACGCCACGCTGTTCGTCACATTTTTCGGCGTGCACAGACAGGTGAGTCATTCCATCTTACTCAGTGGAGTTCGGTTTCCATCCTTCCCAACCGACGACAATCACATGGCGGTTTGTACAGTGTCGGGGTTACGAAGCGATACGGTATTTTTCTTACTCCGATGGCCAATTTCCATCATATTAAGAGATTTTGACGCAGCCACATATCTACGAGACTGATGCCGTCCAGGCGTATAAGTTTGCTAATTCTGAAGGACTTAATTTTGTTTCCGGTCGGATAGTTGGGTGATTCGATTGAAACCCATGAATCTCATTTCAGCTGTGTTTTATCGTCCCCAAGTTTATGCACCTGTAATTTTTTTATCTGCATCTACACTCGAGTCTATCATTGGTCACACCTCAAGAAGTAGCAGTTCTTTATATGTAGTCAAACTTTTTCTGACCCGGTCGAACTGCATGATTTTCCGCAGATATACACTCGAGTTATCATTGGTCACACCTCAAGAAGTAGCAGTTCTTTATATGTAGTCAAACTTTTTCTGACCCGGTCGAACTGCATGATTTTCCGCAGATATCTTGCTTGTTGCAATACACATTTCTTGCAATTCCTTGTTTGTGCCCATTCATGGATCGTGTTCTACTGATTGCTGTTGTTGCCGCACCCTTATACGTACCAGATGTCAGCCAGTTGGACCCTTATATCCCACAGTGCTTTACACATCCACATGGACTTTTCGAACAAGTTAACCCATGTAATTGGTATTCACCACTGGTTGCGCTCACCAAATGAACAACGCGAAGAAGATTCTTTCCGACAATGTCATTGCTCTCTATCATTATAATTGCGAAACAAGGTCTGGCAGTAAAAAAAACAAAGGGAGAATATCACTGAAATCAAACAGCGTTCTGTTTGTAGAACTTGCTGCCCCGCACCTACATGACACAACAGTTTTTACTACGCTCAACTTGTGATGGCGATGGAATTGATATACTTCGACTTTTATGGTTCGGACCACGCTGCGTCATAATTAGATACAAATGTCTGACTTTGATGTGGCTCGCGAATGCTATGGACCCATAGTCCATCTGGTGTATTCATTCTACCTCCTGTCTTTATTTCTTTGTGCCTTATTTGAAAATCACAGTTCATCAGTAATGAATGCCGTTGGCTTCAGAAGTGGCCTTTCTTTTTTGCCTCTGAGGTTATTTACGTGAACTTAAAATGTTGAAGTCCACTCATGCTGTTGCGCACAATATGCAGCATATCTCAAATTGCATCAATCATCTTGCTTTGGGTCCCGTTTATATGATGCGGCAAGCGAATGCTGCAGCGGATAAGAGCCTCTTGATGACTTGCATATTAGCACAAAACTAACGTTTTCCTTTATTAACTAGCCATAGGACCTCTGGGTTGAACTCATTGGGCTCACGGCATACTCATCTTCGTGTTGTATGACCTCATGTGGCACTAGTTTCTGAAGCTTGCAATGTGCCACCAATCGAGGTTGATCATGTCTGCGTCGCTGGATGTATTGACATAGCTGACTGGCTCGTAGATGGAGATGGTGTGTGAATTTCAAAATCTAGCCTCCTGTACATTGTAGCATTTGGCATAACTGTGACGTGTGAATAGAACCTCTGAGTACTGTTACGGATTTACTAGTATTTCAGTTATTCATAGTCACTACAGAATCTACCTAAACAGCCATTCTGCCGAGCGTTTAAACCTTGACGTGTGCGATCATACTTAAGTGGATCACACACTACATGAAAGTATCAGGTTGGTTAGAAGCCTGACGAACACAGCCTCCTGGTCCTACAGGTTGGAGTTGGAAAACGTGGCGCCTTGTTCCGTAGAAACGATAATGCATTTGCATTCCCCCTCAAACACCGCTTGCGGTTAAGCTTTTGAGCCAAAGGCTTTTGTGAGGACCTTTATCGTCCTCCTGCCTAGTTGTCAGCGCCCTTACTGTATCCCAGCCCACGTACAACCATGAACTGCACGTATGCAAATAAACTCATGCCACACCGGCCGTCCCGCCGTGCCATCAGCTGCTCTTGCTCTCACGCTGGACTCGCTTGGCATTGATGTGTTATGTCCCAGAAATATGAATTCAAGATGCGAGCACAGTGTTTGAGCTAACCGCCCCATCAGCCTCCACTCGCTTTCGGCTGCGCACTTCTGGTGATCCAGAGGGTGCTGTGGCGGAATTTGCAAGGGTTGGTATCGTCCTAATTCACCGGGTGGAAGTATCCTTGCTTGACTGGATACCTGTTGATAGTCGCCTCTGTACGGTTCGTCTGGCAACGTTTGTGAAGGATTCTCACAAGAGGGAAGTTGATAGATGTCTGCTTATCGTGTCTGTCTACGCCCCAACTGACTGTAGCTCCGACGTTATCAGAGACAGATTTTATGACGCCCTGAATACCCTGCTGCGGCGAGCTAAAGGTCGGACATCGTAGTGGTTGCCGGAGATATGAATGCAAAGTGGACAGGCTTAGCGTATCTGAGACTCACTTAGGTGGTCGACACGGATTAGACTCGGTATGTGCGGACAGTGGGGAACGATTGCTTCAGCTGTGTGCTGATCGCCGGCTGTTTTTATGCAGTACTAACTTCCGAAATAGCCTAATTCGTCTGGCCACATGGTGTCTTCCAACTGCATGCTGACCACAAACTCGAATCGACCATATTACCATCAATTACCGATGGTGCGGGTCCATAAATGACTGCCGGTCGTTTGGGAACACATTTATGGATTCCGACCATTCGCTGGTCCGGAGTCGCTTCTCTCTGCTTTTTTAGGGCCGCGTAAGTTTCGGAGAAATCTCTTGGCAACTGAAAGACTGGCGGATCCTGAAGTTAGACGAACTTACCAGAATCGTCTTTTAGAGTCTCTTCCGAATGCTCCACCATCAGATGCGAACTCATACTGGGGCGAGATTGCCACCTCTTTGCATAAATCAATTCAATCAATCAATCAATGTATCGGCTATAAGCCGTGTACAATAGGCACATTTGTTCCAGCTGCTGCAGTTTCAATAACCGAAAATTGGGAGTGTGGGACATACAACCAAGCTTTCGAGGCGAAGGCATGTTCGGTTTGTTCGGAAATTGGATAGCTACGCACTGAAGGCGATAGCTTTGACGCACGAGCGTCATTGACTGTGCGATTGGATCGTTTGGCGTACCTCACCGTTACTAACCCGATGTTCCTACCAGATGTGACCAATGCTTCGGAGACACCGATGGTCAAACACTGACATCTTCCTCTGCGCGTAGGAGCCACGTTTCTGGTCCATAAACCACAGGTGTTTTGAGATGAACTGACCAAGGTCATCCCGTCCTTTGGTATGAACTTTGTACCCACAATGTGTAAGGTCATGCTTGTGGACGTGCAGTCACTGAACACGCCCCTTACAATCCAGGGAGAGGCACTGGAAGTTGTGCTAGTTCTGATTGTAGTATGACTGACGGGGTCGATGCACGAATCTGCAAGGCTCGGGTCGCGTTTGCTAATTTGAGACATTTATCGCGTCAAAGTGGTGTATCCGTGAATCTCAACGGACGTATTGTATGGCTGTGAGACTTGGCCTATTCGAGCACCGGAACTGAGACGTCTTCAGGTGTTCGACGATCGTTGTCTCAGAACCATAGCTCGTATGGATTGATGTCGGCGAATTCGTAACGAGGAAGTTAGAAAGCGAGTTTTCGGTTGTGCAACGGGTATTTTCATTGAAGAATGTGTCCAGCACCAGAAGCTGCGTTGGTTGGGACACGTTTTATGCATGCCGAATCATCGTTTACCGAAGAGAGTACTATTTTCCATACCCAATTCGGAGTGGCGTAAACAGAGAGGTGGCCAACCCATGACCTGGCAGAGGAGTATGAAGGAGATCACGAAACGCTTAGGTGCTGTCGGTGCTACTCGCCTTCCAGGATGGGGACCGCGTGATCCTCACTGTGCCTGGTTGGAGACACTACAAGATATGGCTGCCAACCGATGTCAGTGGCGTTCTTGTTGTCAGTTTCTGTCCAGATTGCCTGAGTGAATGTCTGGAGGTGTAGGCACCTCGGAATGATTGTAGTAAGCTAGCACTAAGTCCCTTCCTCGTCCACCTCTTTTCTTCACAATAGGCTTTCAAGTAAATCATGGCTGTATGGCAGTGAAACATCGGTGTTGATCATGTTATGGGTTAAAGCAAATGTGAAAGGCTTTTGTGGTCGTACTGAGGTGAATGAGATACCCGCAAGTCTGTAGTTGAGACATTGACCGAATTGTTGCAGGTCAAGTTATTAGGGGCGGATGCTAACTGAAAAGTTTATGAACATTAGACGTGGCGTAACCTTGTCTCGAAGCGTTATAATGATCATTAGTGCGGGACTGTGTAGCAAAATATTTGTGTTTCATCTTTCATTTATATGTTTCCCTTTGTTTAATGACAGAGTGCACAGTAATATCTCTATGTGTGCGAAACTCCTACTCACTAAAAATTGCCTTGAAAATAATCCAGCAATCAAAAGACAAACGAATGAACGAATGATGAACAATAGTTTCTGCCAGTTTTTTGATATTGTCATATACTTTCACACCTCAATTGTCATTTGGAGACTGCCAATCGTAATTAGGCCAGTTAAAGTATCCCATCGATGCTTGTCAGTTTTCAAATTATTGTGTCATTTTATCGCTTCAGTTTCACGGAGGTCTCGTTCGACATATTGAGAGTTGATAATGTTCTTCTGTGATTTGAATTTACTGACCGATTGACTCTCAAAACGATTACTGGAGTTAGGTTACTTGTTTTTCGCAATCGAACTGAGATACCAACTGCTTGCCTAAATTTAAAGTTGTTTTCATTCGAAAGCGAACTAGTTCAGTCCTTTTTGAGGATTTCTGTTAAGTCTTGCAGTTAAATTTTACGTAAATGCTGCGTACACCTCCACTGAAAGGCTGAGAATAATTATGTCACAGATCTTCAACGATCGCAGTTTTTGCTTGGCCCATGATAGGGGCAATATATGACGTGCATATCCAGAAATTCCAGAAAAGTTTGGTATAAAAAGGGACTAATTAGTTCTGCACTGTGGTATTCAAGTTGCCAGTGGACTTTTCGTATATTGTGAACAGATTTTGTGGGCCATAATATGCACAAATCTAGATGCATTTGTGTTCATTAATTAGGAAGCACTCTTTAGCTATGTCGAAATTAGCGATACCATGCACCTCAGGTCTCATTTGGAGTTCAACCCGCTCCTTTTGAACTGAAGTAAGGATCCCATAGAATTTGGCTGTGAAAGACTAATTCGTGACGTAGTTCACTTGTAGTTCTAGTGGGTTCAGTGCCATGAATTCGTTCGTAAATTTAGTTAATATAATGGTGCGCCTTGTGTTGAGGATAATTCACATGTGGTGGTTTCCCCAAGAGAGATCAATTTCTTGGCGAATCAACTACAGCGTTCTCTTTTGGCGGCGTATTAGTGTGCGATCCCTCTCAGAAACAGCGGCCGCCGTCGGGAGAGTTTAATTTAACCGTACCATCAATCGGTCCGCATCTCAGTCGGAATTCTGGTAATGGTATCCTCCATTGGAAGTTCACCGTTGTTAATAACTTCACTGAAGGTAAAGTTCAAATTTAGTCCATGAAGCCCAAATGTTGCAGAGAATTTATCACATTTGATAGCCTCTTGGTTGATTCTTCAAATTGGCTATGCTGCATATTAACAGACAAGAGCTCTACTCCAGATAAAATGTAGTTTGTACGATGCCTTCTGGTTCCCTGGTTTCTGCAATGTTATCCCACAGAATATCAGTAATTTCATTTGTCTTTTCAAATGTGAAGTTACAACATTAAACATTTGTACTGTTTCACTTTTTCTCCTTTAGTTATTGAATCCCTTCACCTCAAAGAAGTGTGGGACACCGATGTGAGCGATCGTGACGGCGGAATAACTAAACTGGTAAGGGGTTAAACAGTCACTAGTTTGTCGCGCTCCCCCCCCCCCCCC